AAAAAAAAAAAAAAAAAAAGATTCATTTCAAATGATTACTGCTCAATGATAGTGCACCCGGTTACCCAAGAGCTAAACAACACATACAAGGTTAATTCTGTTCTCACACTTGGTAACACAATATCTAGTCTGTAGAACATCTCTCAGGAGTAACTTCAATTTTCCAAGTTTTATTTAAGAAATACATTTCAGAAGGCTATAGCTGCCATAGATAGTGAATCTGCTGATGGATCTTGGCAAATTAAATTGAAACCCTGAGAAGAATTTACTATTCCATATGCCTTTAAGGGCATCTGTTGGCTTATAATGGGTCAAAACATCAACATTATCAGAATTTTGAAAGCAGCTGATTACAACCCTCATGGATGACTTGGAGTGTCAAGATTTAGTGGAGGAAATAACTGTAGATGTGGAGGAAGCAGCAAGAAATAAGAATTTGAAGTGGAGTCTAACAGTGTGACTAAATTGTTGCCATTTCCACATATAATTTTAACAGATGAGGAGCCACTTCTTATGGATGAGCAAAGAAATAACTTTTTAAAATGGAATCTACTGTTGATGAAGATGCTGTGAAAACTGTTGAAAAAACAACAGAGGACTTAGAATATTACATAAATTTAATTGATGAATCAGCAGCAGGGTTTGAGAGGAATGACTCCAATTCTTAAGAATTCTGAAAGAAGTTCTATTATGCATGCTATAGAGAAATCTTTCATGAAAAGATGAAACAACTGATGCAAAAACTTCATTGTCTTAAAAAATAGCCACATGGCTGGGCTTGGTGGTGCACACTTGTAATCCCAGCACTCAGGAGGCTGAGGCAGGAGGATCGCTGGGAGTTCGAGACCAGCCTGGGCTACACAGTGAGTTCCAGAACAGTCTGAACTACATAGTGAGACCCTGTCTCACCCCCCCCCCAAAAAAAAGCCACATGGTGGCACATACCTGTAATTCCAGCACTCTGGGAGGATAAGACAAAGGATCACAAGTTCAAGTCCAGCTTGGGCAACTTAATGCCTTAACAAGACCCTAACCCAAAATTAAAAAAAAAAATTTAAAGGGCTTGGAATGTACTTCAATGTGAAGGCCCTGGGTTCATCTCCTAGTACACCCAAAAAAGCCACAGTGATTGTAACCTTCAACAACCACCATTCTGATCAAACAGTAGCCATCAAAGCAAGACTCCCTACCAGCAAAAGATATGAAGGTTCAGATAATCATCAGCATGTTTTAGCAATAAAGCATTTTTAAATTAAGGGACGTACCTTTCTTTAGGCATAATGCTACTACAATGGAAACATAACTTTCATATGCACTGGGAAATCAAAACACTTGTGTGACTTGCTTTATTGTGATATTCACTTTATTATAGTAGTCTGGTAAGTGAATCTGCATTATCTCCAAGGTATGCCTGTACACTAAATTTGGATATAGGGCTCATGCAGTAACTGAATGTTTAGGTAACAGGAGCCTATAGTGGTGAAGAAAATGGAAAATAAAAAATCAAATATAAACTATATATTAATAAAGTATAAAGATAAAATTATCAAATGATTTTTAAAAACAGTATATAGCATAATTCCTCTTTATTTAAAAAAAAAAATGGCTGGCCAGGGATTTAGTTCAGTATGTCTGCCCCACAAGCACAAAGTCCTGAGTTTGATCCCCAGTACCAAAAAAACAAAAAGTGGCTGGGCACACACCTGTAATCCCAGCTCACAAGACTGTGACAAGAGGACTGTCATGAATTTGAGGCCAGCTGGGGCTACACAGTGAATTTAAGGTCAGCCTGAACTGCATGGAGAGACCCTGTCTCAAATAACAAGTAAATAAATAAATTGTATGTACGCGTGGATGGATGTGCTTATATAAATATAAAAGAAAGCTTGGAATGATATGCACCAAACTATAGAGAAAACATTTGGAACTATTTGGGGAAAACAAAGTTACATTTTTGTTGTTTAATAATTTATAATTTGTCTGATTTTCTTTTTTGTTTTTGTTTATTGGTTTTTCAAGACATGGTCTCACTATATATATAGTTCAGGCTGGCCTTGAACTCACTATGAAGCCCAAGCCTGCCTCGAACTCACAGCAAATCCTTCTGCTTCTGCTTCAGCTTCCTGTGGGATTACAAGCGTGTGCCACCATGTCCACCTTGATTTTCTTTTTTATAATGTACTAACTGTACTTGTATTGCTAAAATACAAATAACATATAAAATTAAAGATTAAAAACCAAAAAATTCCTATGGTAGAGTTTATCCCCGTTATATTTTATAGTTGTAATCAGCATTTCAAACAGGTACCACCTAATCTGATTCTATTGTCAGCTAATAAAATATTCTAACAGTATTTGAGACTCTTCATGAAGAGCAATTTTTAGAAAACAATGTTATATCAGAAGATGCTAAAATCATCTACAACAATTTTACCTTGAAAATATTTTAATTATAAAAGTTAACATAGTTTTTAAAATGTATTCAATGCAGCGATTATAAGAAAAAAATTTACTGTACCTCCATGCCCATTTTATCAGCTTACAGCAACCAGTGTTAACAACATATACCTTTACATGTAATTTTCAATATTCACAGATCTTGACTTGTTTGCTTTCATAAAAAGAACTATATATCTTACCTCAATCAGGCAAATTTTAGATATATTTACCTAAGAGCAAAAACTCATTTATTGTTTTATTTATATGAAATATTATGTTTGGGGTTTTTTTCCAGATATTTTTGCTTCTTGTGAGAGTGACAATACAACAGGACATAAAACCTACCCTAAACTAGTTGGGCTGATATAAATGATACCATAGAATAGACAACAACAACCTGGTTACCACAAAAGCTATTGCCTTTTTTATTACTAAGTTTGTTTGCTTGCTTTGGCTCTTTCACCAAAGTCTAAAAAGAATGTCTCATCAAAAGTTTTAGGGCTGGGGATTTAGCTCAGTGGTTCCTCTGCCTGCTTCGCAAGCACAAGGTCCCAAATTCAATCCCTGGTACTCCCCCCACCCCCCAAAAAAAGTTTTAATTGTACAAGGAAACTATAATAATAAAATCCAATTTCCCAAAGATTTACTAACCTACTCTTGTGTATCATATTTTTCCCTAGCTTTAAAAAAAGAAGTCTTTTCCTCACAAGAATACCATCCTCCAGGGCCAGGGATTTAGCTCAGTAGTACTGCCACCTGCCTCACAAGTGTAAGGTCCTGAGTTCAATCCCCAGTACTAAAAGAATACCATCCTTCAGATAGTTAATTAGTTACAGCTCACAACTTAATCCTTGTCTAGAACCTAAACTAGGTTAAAGAATTTACAAACATGTGAGAGACACCAAGATCCTCCACTGCATTCTAGTATACCTATGTATGTAGTATACTTGTCTTTTGTTTTGTTTTTTAGAAATATATGTGTCCATTCAAAAGCAAAGGAGAAAATATATTGATTACTGCCATCACATCTTTAAAACTGCCGAGTTCCACAGACTGTTTTTTGTTTTACATTACACACTGCCACAAGTATCACTGCTTCATAGCTCTAACACAATTAGACCAAAACAAAACAAAACAAAAACCCTTGCTAATAACACACTTTCATTTAATGACTTGAGATTTACCTTTTCAAAAAATTGACTGCCATTATCAATACTCACTGAAAACTTACCTCTAGTTCTTTAATTTTTTCTTCTGCTATTTTCTGTTTCTCCAACAGCTGATTATGAATTACCTCCTTGGATTGAAGAATAAACCTACAAAATACAAGAAAGTTGAAAACTAAGCCATATGACTATGTTCATCAAAACCAACAGCTATAGACCACAAATGTTAAACTAAGAAAACTAAAAGGATGATTTCCAAATTTAGAACAAGTAAAACGTTACATTAATGCGATAAATTGAGGAAACCACTACAGGTTTTAAGTCTTGTTTGCTGAGAATGAATAAAGGCCAAAAAATATATTCTACTTTTTATTTAAAGATGGAAATCCTCTATCTTTTGTTGTTGTTTTCTTGGGGGTTTTTTCTTTGTTTGTTTGTTTTGTAACAGCAGTAACTCATGACCTTTTAAAGTTACAATCAAGTACTGTGTTAGGATCAGTGGATTAGTGTTTACATGAGCTCCTCACACAAAAAGCACTGTGTAAGATCCAGTATCTTTCGTTATTATTTCCAGAGCATATAATACCTCTGAAAAGTTCAAATACACAAGTGGAAAATTTCAACTTTTTCCATTTTACAGTCAGGCACATTATTTACTACTAATGAGGATGGAAATAATGGGAAGTTAAAAATTAACACTGAATCTGTTTTGTGGCTTTATGTTCATAATTCTTGCTGGAGGTAAAAGAACAAAGTGTTTTACTGCCTTGAGTAAGTAAACTGAAGTATTTCCCTTCTACTGAAACCAAAGGAAAACTGCAATTATTCAAACCTCATTTAGGATTGTCTAAACTGAATAGATTTCAATTAAAGATTAAAATAAATTAAGCAGATTACTTCTTCTCTTTGTACTTAAGAATTCAGCAACAAAGAACTCAACAGCACCTCTAAACAAAAAAGCCAAACAAGAAAACACATGAAGATAGCAATACACAATTTCCTCGCTGACCCCACCAAATCAATACACACATAAGTGGACACTCAACAAGAGGGTCTTATCATAGTTATAAGACCCATAAAAAGGGCAAGTACAACTCAATAACTAAGGGAAAATTTTTTCTCTTGTCTTTATGAATATATAGCTTGTCACACATTAATACAAATACAAATACAATAATGAACTTCTCTTTTTCACTTCACTGACTGCCACACTCATAATGAGATTAAATCCAACATGATTTAACTAATGATCTTAGCCTTTTTTTTTTTTTTGGTACCAGGGATGAAACTGAGGACCTTGAGCTTGCTACGGAGGCAGTGGAAACACTGAGCTAAATCCCCGGCCCTGAAGAGGAGAAGAGGGGACATCAAGTCTCACTATTGTAGCTCAGGCTGGACTTGAATTCATTATGTAGGCCACATTAGCCTCAAACAAACAGCAATCCTCCTGCCTCAATTTCCCAAATGCTAGGATAACATGCACATGTCACCACAGTTGGCAGTCTAAGTCTTCAGTAACCTGATCCTCTGTAAAAAGTTTACTCATATATGTACTAGAAAGACTGTCCACATTCATTTGAAACAATGATTAATGCTGATCTTTTACCTACAGAATCCTTCATGTCTAAAACAGTTTTATTTACAGAAGTCAAGAGACAATCACATAAGATTATAGTGCACAGAACATTTTTCTCAGAATTAAGTCATGCTAGTATTTGCAGAGTTATTTGGAATTGCACATTCTCAGTGACACAATGCAAAAAGCATTATAAAACAACCTCCAAGAGTCACCAAATTATGTCATCACATGCACTATTTTAAACTCTTTCAGCCATGGAAATAATTCTCAAAGTAAAATATACATTTTTAAACAGCACTGATTGCCAGCCAATAAGTACTATTCTCAAATAATAGGTCTTTGGACATCATGTGTATTAGAATATGGAAAAATTTGAAGGCTAAGATTACAAGTGATTACTTATGTGGCGTTTAAAAAGAAAATATCAGAACAGATACTAAATCCCTTGAGCAGAAAATAAAATTACTAGAAAGCAAGAACACTCAACAACAAAAACATGTTTTTCCATAGCCACATGTCCCTAAGGTAGCTATACTGGACTATGCCAACTTCAAAGGCCAGAGGCTGGCCAATGTATTATGATAAGCCCAAGACAGCTCAAACATAAAAATTTTAAACAAGCATAAGCATTGTGTAAACTGAAATGTTTACCTCAAGAAGTAGTATACTGTAAAAATTCAAACAAAATAATCTGGTTTAGTCCTCAATTCAAACAATGGCATTATGTACGAACACTAGAAATGGCTCCAAGAAATACCTAGATTTCTGGAAAAAACTTTGGAAAACATCTCACTTCTGTTGTTTTTTTAAAAAGGTGGTGAATTATAAGATTCTATTTGAAGAAAATATACCATAATGAGTCTTGTTATAATAAACAGATATGAATAGTTTCTCATACTAGAGATCCTCACAGAGATCCTGCTTGTTTATGGAAAGCCAAATATAACAAAGGATTCTAGGGTTCAAAAGGTGCTACCAAGAAAAATAAACTATGAAGAGGGAAAGTATTCTCATATGGTATGTAGATTATGTGCTTATAATGCCAGGATTATATAACCTGGATAAGTCACTGCTTTGTAAAAACCTATTTTCACCTGGAACTTTCTCAATTATGTGTAATTATACCACCTGGAAAATATACTTTTCTGATGACTTTTGGATTTGGGGGTTTGGGTTTTTTTGTTTGTTTGGTTTTTTTTTTGTAACAGGGATAGAACTCAGGACCTTGTGCTTGCAAGGCAGGTGGCAGCACCACTGAGCTAAATCCCAGCCCTGATGACTTTTGGTTTTGATTACGTGAGGAACCAGATGGTGTGTTCTGAATCATATGGCAGGCTAACACACGACTTCTACTTTCTTGTAATTCCGCATGAATAAATAGTGTTATCTGCCCAAAACACAATCCAGGACCAATAGCAATGCTGTCTTTTGTGCGCACTTCCAAAGTGTGATCACCTGGATATATGCTATTTAGAAACAAAACGTTGAGTCTTCTAGGAAGATGACAGAATGGTGAGCAGCAAAGAAACAGCCTCTTCCATATCTGAAGTCCAGACAACGGAAAATACCAACATGAGGAAGAGAAGGAGGGAATTGAGTTCCCAGGACCCAGCAAGGATCTGAAGCGAGAATTAGGGACCATGGGGAGAACAGAGAGGGACCACAATGCAGAGGAGGGAGGTGGCAAGTGGCACTGCAGCTCAAACCTGCAGAGGCATGGTGACTACTGGCATCCCACAGGCCTCCATGGAGAAATGCACCACAGGCACAGGCATCCACAATGGAAGGAGCAATGGATGCTGTGGATGGCAATGGCTGATGAGTTCAGGTTTAGGTGCCCCCCACAGGGAAGAACTGGCTGGTAACCATTTTGGAAAGGGGCCAATGAAGTCAGAACTCAGGGCATCTGTGTGTTGGCTTCACCTAGCAGCTCCAAGTGTTAGGGTGAGACACAATTAAGTTCAAGCTGGCAGGAGGTCAGAGAGCTGAATTTAAGCCAGCAGAAGTCACTCAGTGTTGCAGGCTGCAAAATTCAAGCCCCAGCATCACAGCCAGAAACCAGAAGCAGACCAAACTTAGTGGAACTAAAGGCCCAGGTTTGCTGGGATTATGCACCACTGCTATGATTCTACTGCTGGCTTGCTAGGATTAATCAACACAGATCTGGGCTCTACCAGACCCCTCTGTCAACCAGTGACAGCAGAGATGTGCCCTGAAGTACACATATTTTTTTCTAGTTTTCATTTCTTTGCTTTTTTATTTTTTCTATTTTTTTCTTTTTCTTGATTGTTCAAGTGAGAACAATGTTTCTAGAGGTTTTTTGTTTTTGTTCGTTTCATTTTCTTCATTTTTTTCTTTTCCTTCTGTCTTTTTCACTAGTTCCCAAAGCTTTCATAATCTTCCATTCTTCCTTCTAATCCCTTTCTTCTATTTTTTCTATTTTTTTCCCCAACTCTTTTTAAATTTTCTCCCGAGGGTAAAATGATCATACTGAGGGGACATTTACTGCACACAATTTTCTGGTTTGTTTCAGATTTGGTGATATAACTATAAATCCTGTTCACACGGTTAAAGATGTGTTTGATGCTATTATTTTTGCTGACTGAACAACTTCAGCCAAGGTGACATAACCATTCTTATCAGTTGTTCTTCCAGCTATGTCAAGACTGCAACTGCCTAAGGGTCATAAATAAACAATACTATAGGCCAGTGCCAAAGAACCAGGGGCTAGGCCAAATAGGCAGCAGTTTCTCATTCCCAAAAAACTGAAGAGGTAATAACTTGCAATAGCCTCAAAATCCAAAGCCATCTACACCTGGAATATACCTGAGAAGTGTTCATTTCCTAAGGGTTCTCAATAATAGCAATAGCATAAACAATTTACAAGCATCAACACAGGAATTAAACTAAAAAAAAAAAAAAAAAAAAAAAAAAAAAAAAAAAAAAAAAAAAAAAAAAAAAAAAGAAAGAAAGAAAGAAAAGAAAAGAAGGCATGAAAGTAAGATGCAACCCCAGACTCCCAGCTTACCAAAGGCAAACCCAGGGGACAATGAGATGAAACAATTCCAAAGCCACACATCTGGACTCTCTGAAGTGGTAACAACAGAAATAACAAGCAAATGAATGAGGCTCTAGAAAAAAATCAAATCAGAAATAATTTCTCAGATAACTTCAGATATGATGACCATAATGAAAGGCATGATGAGTGAATCTAGAGAAGATACAGACTGAAAAAATAGAAGAACTTATGAAAATGACAGAAACTATGAATGCCCAAGGAAAGAAATGGAATTCATGAAACCGATTCAAACAGATACTCAGGAGATTAAAAATTCCATTCAAAGTATACACAGCAGAATGAACCAATGTGAGGACAGAATATCAAGAGAATACAGAAGACAGGATTGTGGTTAGCAATCATGAAAAGAAAGATTTCTTAAAAATAGCAAGCAACCATGAAAAATCAATCCAACAGCTGCTATATGATTCAAAGAAAATTAACATAAGATTGATGACAGTCAATGAAAAGGCAGGAGATAGCACAAATGACACCAAAAAACCTGCTCACAGA